TGCTCGTACCCAACATGTTAGTAGCTCGTGAACCAAGCAGGTGTTACGTGGCTTGCGATGTCAAGTGTACGGAATTACGAACAATACCCAAAATTTATTTAATTGAGATGTGGACTTGTAATATAGTTTACAATTTTATCTAACTTATTTAGTTTGGATTGTGATAGGATTACTTTTATTATTTTAAATAATATTTGTTGGGCAAATTAAAATATTACTTCCTTCCCATTTCTTCAACAAACTTCGGACCCAGAAAAGCATAGGGATTCATTTAAACTTATTCTTTACAACTTGGTTTTAGAGGTGACAGATTAATTCATTATTTTAATAAAATAATTCCATAAAATAATTATTATCAAGTTGTCTTTATATGAATTCTATTGTAGTTTAAAACTATATATACAGATTGTATGCTTGATTATAACAAAAAGGAATTATTTTTTTATTTATTTATTTTACATGGACTGGATCTCGGCAAGCGTGCTAGACCAAGAGAATGTGGGAACCGGAAGCCAAATGTGGCACATTTATGCATTTATTTGAAAATTTTAGTTGCTTAGACTTTAATAAGGTTGGTCAGTTTTAAATAAAATATTGGTTAATATAATATAAAGACCTCAAATTAAATGATATATGTGATTCCAACCAAAGAACATTGTGTTTAATTTTATATTTTAATTTTTTATTATTATTATTATTATTATTATTATTATTATTATTAATTAATCCATAAATTGGATTTTCAGATCTGGGATGTGACAACTTGGTATCAGAGCAGTGGTGAAATGTCAAATTTGATCTTACTATTTAATATTAAATTAAAAGTTATAATTATTATTTTAAAATTACAAAAATACTCCACTATATACAAAAATATTAAATTAAAAACTATTAAATCAAATTTGATTTTCAAAGTACTTGGGAAGAAGACATGGATGTTTTTATAATTTTAAAATTTTAATTATAATTTAATATTAAATAATTAAGGCAAATTTGACATTTTACAATCGTCGGTCACAAGTTTAAGTGTAACTTGATAAGTTTTGTTAGTGTAAAAATTTGTTTAATTCTTCTAGAGATTTTATGCACTATTTTAAAAGTATAAGGGAGATTTTGTAATTTTAACCCTAATATCAATTAATAGTCATAATTCATGCATTGGAATGTGAGGAAATGAAGGTCTGACCATTGTTTTGTAGGCATGCCTCTGATGATGCTCTCATCCTTAACTCCGATGAATAAATTGAAGTAAACATTTAGAAAAATAAATAAAAATAATAATAATTTTTTTATTCTTTTTAAATGATGACAAGAACTCTATTCATTAAAATCATTACAAAAACCAACCATTGCTCGAGAAACATACTACTTTTCATGAATTCTCCATTGCGGCCCTTGGTTCATAACTTCATGTGACCTCTTTAGGGCCGGAGTTCGAGGGGCATTGGCCCTTTCAAAATTCTTTTTTATGAGTTCCAAAACTAGTTATTTTGTAATAAAAAATATTAATAATAAAAAATAAAAATAAAAAATCTAAACGGTGGTCTCAAATTTCATTAAAAATCTTAACCACTCCGCCCAAGCACAAAGAAATTAAGAGAGTTTGAAGATATAATTTAACTCGCATCAACTCATGGCAAATTCCACCTAGACCTCTATCCCAACATATTGTTACTTCATTTACATATACACATTTATAATATATAAGTTCTAGAGTGAAAAAAGAAAAATTACACTAATGTCCTCTCAAGTTTAGTATATATGCATGAACCCTTTTTTTGTTAGATATTTTGGTAAGAGGTTTTTAGAAGGAGGAGGTAAAACTAAAGTGTTGTGAGACAAGAATGCTTACAAAAACAATGATATTGTTTTTGCTAATATTTTTAGTTGTCATTTGTTAAATGACAAAATCAATAACCACTCCTTAATATAATAAGTTCTTAAAATACTTTGGTAATTTATTTTTGATAATCGTGTTTTCTTAAAACTTGCGAGATTTGGGTGTTTTTTTTTTTTTTTTTTTGTCATATTAGCTTTTCATCTTTATCTATTTAGGTTGCGTTTTTCTTGTTTTTGAATTGTATTTTTTTTTAGATATATATGCCAAGGGTTAAGACTAATATTATATAAATATATATATATGTTACAATTAATTTATAATTTTTAAAAATTTTAGTTACGTAGTTCTTGTTCAGCCCCAAATGATCAAAATTTATCACTCTTCCTACTAAAAGAATTTAAACTTTTGATTTTCCCAACAATTTCAATAAATTTTTTGAAAACCGTGGATAAAAGCTTAAATTCTTAGATTTATACAAACTTCCAAAAGGGGAAAAAAAAAAACAAAAAAATTGGGTAACTTGAGAGAAACCTTATGGGAATTGAACCTTTATATACAAGAGAAATATATATTCTTTTTACAATACTAAATTATAACCAAGAGCCTTATGACATAATGGTATTATCATCTACCTCCCAAAGTGGATGGTAAATGTTCGAGTCCCAAAAAAAAAAAAAAAAATTAGGACTACTATATATCTATATATAAGAGAAATATATAATCAGTATATATTTATTTATTGTCTTGGCAAAGAACTCACGCAAATTACACAATGCTCTTTGAGAGAATTAAACCCTCAAGTTTTTATTTTGAAAGGATAAAATGTACCACTAAAGTGCTAGAACTCACGCAAGTTACACAATGCTCTTTGATAGAATTAAACCTTCAAGTTTTTATTTTGAAAGGAGAAAATGTATCACTAAAGTGTTAGAATTGTGGCTCAAAATTTTGGTGAGAATTCTATTATGGACAAGTGGAACCGCTTGCGCTTGGACAAAATAGTTGGAACAATACGTGACACAAAGATGTAGAACCGGTTCCACTTAGTCGGTTGCGTTTGTGCGATAAATAGTTTCCTAATCAGTTTTGGAAGCTAAAAGACTTCGGAAAAAGGCCGAATATTTGGAGAAGTTGTTTTGCCTGTTATTTTAGAGTTATAGACTGATATGGTAACTCCTCGTAGGTAAGTTAGGAAATACTTGTCCAATAAGAAATTGGATTTGAAGACTCTATAAATAGATATGAGTTTGGATAAAGAGAGAGAAGAGAACAAAAATGTAAATGTTTAAGGATGAGTGTTGTGAGAAGAGGGGAGAGTATCTATAATTAATGTAACCTTAGTGTGTGCACAAAATATGTGTACTTTTGAATATCTAGAAATGTGCTAAATGGACATCAACTTTTAAAATTTATAAAAGCCACTTAACACTTATACATTCATTTCTTTTAATAGATTGACTAAAGCCTTTTAATTTTGGATGTTACTCACTTAATGCCATTTCAAACTTCTTTCCAAATTTCTTTCTAACTTCTTGAGTCATGAGATGAATATAATGATTACCTTGCTGCTTAAACCTTGTCTCCTCCTAAATTAACATAATAGTTAATTCATTCACTTCCACTTGTCTTAATTCGAAATGATCCATACTGAGTGGACAAGAATTTGAGAATAAATTGAATAAGAAATTTCCCATCCACAATCATCCCTAAGATTCTCAATTTTGCAGCAACATTAGACATCTTAAGAATATGTCAGACATGGTAAGAATACTAACAAAAATGCACAGTAGTGATATCAATCAATAATTTTCATTTTAGATATTTATCTACAATACGAAAACATTCTTTCAGTCAAATATCCATTACCACTATCACTATGGGGAATAATTATTTGAACCATAATGTTTAATCTGTTCGATCTCTCCTAAACTTTATGGAGAATCTTTTCTTCCTCACTATCTTTATCAGTAATAACAGTAGGTTTTTCAATTTAAAATGCTAAATCAAGATTTAGCACATCTAAATTTTGAACTTAACTTATTCATTCCATTATGAGAAGTTAGTCCTATCGAGAATCAGAACAGATGTAGCATGCAAATTAAGGGATGTAATAAAACAAACATAATAAGATAAAATATTTACAACAATAATGCTTGAGTTATAACATGTATATATAACTTAAAATATAAATACAATGTATAATTATAGTACCCCTTTAAGTAGCAACTATAAAATACTAATAACGATGCTTACATATATTTATATGTATATCTTCATTGGTGATGCATTATGTAATTAAACAGATAAATTACCTTTGGATATCCTATGTCTACCAAATTAAAAAATACATACAATCCTTTAATGTTCATTTAATCACTTAAAGATCAATTCCTTTGGGGAATTATTTTTCATGATTAGATAAATTCAATATTCATAAATATCACAAGAAATCATAAGCATCAATAATTCTTGAAATATTGTAATTATGTCTACTACTAATACTAAAATTAATATTCATCAACCATTATGGTTCGGCCACTATGACAACTACCAACCCTCACATGATATGAATATTAAATTAACTAGTAACTAATTAATCATTAATTTACCCATTTAACATTATACACACATACTTATACTTGTTGATTCAAGTTTAAGTTATTTCGATCCCAAAACTTACTAATCCGAAAATTTAATAAAAATATCCTTTTCTTTTTATATATATAATAAAAAATTATTTTTATTTCTGGATTCAGATATCATAATTGAATCAATCTAAAATTAATTATTTATCGTGTATGTATATATAGGTACAAAAATTAATTTATTTATATATCTAATAAAATTAAATTTCTAAACTCACATATTATTCTAAAAATTTAAATTTTTAATAAAATAAATCAATTCACAAAATTATTTAATCATGCAAACCACAAACTTAACTTATATGACCATTTTCCCTTAACTTTTCATATGCAATTAATGAAATATGATAACAAGTAGTACTATACATATAAGTCTGTAGAAAAACAAACAGGTAGTATAATAAAATTAACTTTATTATACATATGCATTTCATGCTTTCAATAATTAACTTTCAAGTAATACAATCATGTTCGGAATTTTTTTTTTTTTTTTGTTTAACAGAACAAACTATAGATTAAGAAAATGAACACGAAGGGAGAAGAACATTTAACAACCACAGGGGCCATATGTTCCACTCCAAATCACCACACTCGGCTTCAAGAGCCTTCTCACTTAAAAGATGAGTTACACCATTTCCTCCACAAGGAATCCAAACAAGAGATGAACCAAAACAAAGGGAAAGCAAAAAACAAATATCTTGAAAAATCATCACCTGACCTTCCACTAAGACTTGCAATTGCATGACAGATTGACAATCACTTTCAACCACCATATTCTTGTAACCCCAACGGTGCAAAAGTAAGAGAAAGGCCCGCAAAATTTGGGATTCAGCTATCGAAGGAGAAGACACATTCAGCATAAAAAAGGAAGCAACTTTAATAGGCCGACCTAGGTGGTGAAGAAGCATCACCCCACCCCCACAAAAATGATGAGATGAATTATAAGCCGCCTCAAAATTCAGTTTAAAACAACCAAAATCTGGGGTGGTCCACACTGCAAGAGGGACCGAAACAGGAGGAACCAGCAACAACAACAGATTATTTAGACGGGAAACCTCCTGAAACTCCTGAAAGGCAGCGAAAGCATGCTGAGCCACATCAAAAGGATCCCACCGTTTTCGCTGAAAAACAAAATCATTCCGGCACTTCCAGATAGACCAACAGACAAATTGAGGGACACAAATTGATCAAAATAAAATTACTGTAGAATAATTATACATATTCAAAAAGACATATTAGTTGACCAACGGTGGGCCATACTTATCAGCCTCGATCAGATAAAATACAGCAGCATATCCAAATATATTTATATGCAATAGAGACACAAAAAATTAGATATGCAATCGGATTTGAAAATATTATTTATGTAATGTTAATGAAAATAATGAGTTCCTAAACAATAAGCTCTCATACCACATATAAATTATTATTATTCGTGCCAAACATTAATCACAAATAAGCATGTTATAATATTTGTGTAAAAACATTAAACACAAATCACAATTCAAGAAAATTGAACTTTATTATTTTCACATGTCTATAATGTATAAATAAATAGTTAAATATAAATACCTCCATTCGTGATTGCAAATCTCGTCGAGATCAAGCCAAACATTGAGATCGTGGAATGGACAACGTGCTAAACTGTAACTCCAAAACAATAGCCAAAGTGTGGAAATCGATTTCTCTTGCTTGGCCTTTTACACACATAAACATTATACGTGTTATTTCATTAGTGTATACAATTGATAGAATATATGCACTTATATATATAGGTAAATAGAGGGCTAGTTTTCTTTTTAGTAACATTAATATCCATTTTCTATCAAAGTAAGGAACAAATAGAAAAATACTTCTTCAATAATTAAGTACTAAAAAGATAATTTATAAGTTAACCAAATAATATAATATTAATCTGATATCTATTTACATAACTACTCAATAATAAAAATAAATCAAGTGGACCACATATAAAAAGAAAATATCTTACATAATAAGCTTTTTTTTTTTTTTTTTTTAATTTTTTTGATGCGAGAATGTAAATTAAAAATTAGAGGTGCAAAATATTAACTTTTCATATGCAATTAATGAAATATGATAACAAGTAGTGCTATACATATAAGTCTATACAAAAACAAACAGGTAGTATTAAAAGTCGAAGGTAGTATTAAAGTGCGAAAGCAAAACTAACTTTTTCAATTCCAATTGTCAATCTAGTCATACCTAGGAATCAAAAGGCAAAACACATATTTGTCTTATTATACAATGAGATCGCGAAACAAATAACGTGCTAAATTGCAACTCCAAAATAATAACCAATGTGTGTATATTGATTTTGCTTTCATTAGCATACATAATTAATAAAATATATGCACTTATATATATATATATATATAGGTAGAGAAATGATCAAATTTTCTTTTAGTAACATTAATATTCATTTTCTATCAAAATACGTAAGGAACAAATAGAAAAACATTTCCCCAATAATTAAGCACCAAAAATATAATTTATAAGTTAACCAAATAATATAATATTAATATGATATCTATATACTTAATCACCAGATAATAAAAATAAATCACTTGTTCAAATCATGTGGGTCACAAATATAAAAAAATATCTTACACCATAGACATTTTTTTTTTTTTTTTCAAGATAAGAATGTAAATTAAAAATTAGAGGTGCGGAATCTTGAAATCGAGCTCTCAAAGACAAGAGATAGCTAAAGGTTTTCATGCGCATTAAGTAGATCAAGTACATATATATTAAAAATAATCGGGGGAATTTGACTCTAGACATATACTAAAGGATTAATAGCCATATTTAATTTGATTCAAATAGTTGATTCTTCTAGAAACACAAATAAGAATCAAGATTATTTTCTTCGGAATAAATCTCTTAGAAGAATATGTACATACACGCATCTATGAAATGTTTTGGAAGTCCCAACTCGAGTATGGTTTGTTTATTCTTTCATTTAAATGTTTCTGATTTCTACTTTTTCAAAATACATGTAATTCATCTCGTAAAAGTAAACATAATTTACTGTGTTTTTCTAAATATATATTCTTTATTCTTGTCTTTGATGACTAAGGGAAATTATTGAATCTATTCCCTCTATTCAAGGAAGAAGTTAAAATAATATAATACCATTATATGTCGATAACAAAGATGATTTTTTTTTTTTTGTGTTACCATGTATTATCAAAATTTTTTTGTTATAGTTCTTTCTTCTAAATTGTAATTATTAGTAAATAAAAATAATTATAGTCTCTTAAATTAATTATTCTTTTAATTAGTCGTAAGATTATATCTTAAAACTATAATTAAAAGTGAACTTACTCGTCAGGAAGTAGTTGAATATTACGGTAGGTATATGTATAAATTTATTTATATAAAATTGCAAACATGTCGATAAGTTCATATGATGAGAACCATTAAAAATCCAGGAGAATTTTTCATAAAGAAAAAAGATAAAGAAAGTAAAAAATAAATCTAGGAATCCAGTAAAAACGGAAGTTTTCTTAAAAGAAGCAAGATAAAAGAAAGTGAAAAATAAATCTAGGAATCCAGTAAAAGTAGAATTTTTCGTAAAGAGGCAAGATAAAGAAAGTAAAACAAATCCAGGAATAAGTAAAAAAATACAACTAGGTAAAGTACGAATTTGTTCTCTAGTTTTAAATTTTAATGTATAAGTTATTATGAAGAATAGTGCTATTAGAGCGGAACTTGTGCTTATAAGTCACACAATTTCTATTTTTAGGAATTTAAGAAAGAATTAATTAAAAAAGAATCATTTATAAGTAAAGAAACAAATCAAGCTTTTATTCTCTCCTCTCCACGTTCTCTCTTTTTCTCAACAACCAATCTGCCTATCTCTCTCTCTTAGTTTGAACACATAAAATTTTTAGAATGAGGCTATTCCAAATCTCAAAAATATGAAAAAAAAAAAGAAAAAAATATATCAAAATATAATTAAAGAGCACTTAAAATTTATGTGATGAGGTTATTCCAAAGCTCAAGAACGCGAACAAATAAAAAAAAAATCTCAAATAGAATGAAATAGTGTCACAAACATGATAGATGAAGTCTAACTTACGATAACCTAGTATGTCAGATGGAATGCAGGTGGACAGATTTTTTAATTGAAAGACAAATGGTTAATTATGAGAGAGAAAGAAACGGATTCTTTTAGGGTTAATTAAGAGAGAGAACGAGACAAATTGATTGGGGGTATTAAACAAGAGAGAAAGCAGAGAGAAAAAAGGTAAATTTGTTTCCTTAATTACAAAGAATTATTTATTGATTGTTTTTCCCAAATCTCTAAAAATAGGAATTATGTTGCTTATAAGTGCGACCTTTTTAGAATTTTTGCGGAAGTGCCTCAATAGCACTACTCAAAAAGAGAATGGTTTTTCTTAATTGTTTATTATTTTCAGATTTCATTTTAAAAATTTTGAGTCAAGCACATTTTCTTTCAACATTGGAACCACAATATCAGCATTATTTGGCATTTAGGGAGAATTGCACAAAACTCCTCTCGTCTTTCTTTGATTGGCAAAAAACCGTTGTGATGTATTTTATTTGCATCAAAGTCCCCCAACTAATGAAAATCTCACAAGGTGCGGTTACAGAATCTCAACTCAGTTAAAAAATGCAGTTGTTTCGCACAGGACTTTTTTGAGACATTTACTGTGACGAAAATACCCCTTACACTCATCTGTAAAACCCGTGATTCGGGTCTTCTCTAGCTCCTCCCAGGATGGTAGGGAATTTGTATTATATTCTTCATTGCATTATACATTGTAATATAATCTAGATTATATATATATTTATTTATAAGACAATAAGTATTAGATATTAGATTAGTAAATATAAAGAGTCAAATCTAACACTCCAACGTTCAATAGGGACACTGATCAATTGAACTATCGAGACTCAAGTCATCTACATAAAAAAAATAAAAATAAAAAAACACGAGAAATAAGAAAAATAATTGAATGACAATTAAAGCCTTATAAAAAAAATTGTAATGAGAAAAATAATTGAATGACATGTAAAGACCAACATGATCTAAATTTTTTAAGAGAAAATGCATCAATGTTTCAAAAGCATATCAAGAATATTCCTAAAACTTATTTTATATAAAAAATAAAATAAAAAATATTTTTTGAAAATCTCTTGTAAAACTGTCAGGAAACTTACAAGAAAGAAAGAATTTTTATTTATTTTTTATTTATTTTTATTTATTTATTTATTTTTTTTTCATACTATTGATACTCTTTTACAAAAATAATGCTTAAATTTTCTTTAAAAAATTTCTAACTACAGTTACAATAAATGCCTTTTCTTTATATATATTACCTTTTATTTTTTCCTTGATATTTGTTTCCAGTAATAATGCTTAATTTTTCTTTTCCTTTTTTTTTTTAATTAATTTTATAGCATTATTGTTTTAATTAAACATACCAGTTTCTAGTATATTACAAGAAACTACTTTAATGATATATTATAAGAAGTTTAATGATTTTAATATATTAATCCCAAATTTTTATATTAAAGATCAAGTTCAAGACCATGGGGCCACGGGTTCGTGGGAGCTAAAATTTTTGTAAAGTAATTTATGTTACATGTTGATTCAAAAGCTCAGCCCTTAGCATCTTAAAATGAATTAAGGACTTAGGTTATTGAATTTAAATCAAATATTTTTGAGGTCCTTAGTATAAATGACTTAGCCCAATAAATTAAATGATTTTTTTGAAGAGGGTAAAAGGGTCATTTAGTCAATTGGTGTCACTTTAACACTTGAAAGTTTTCAGTATCAAATTCTCGAATTCTTCTTTAGGTTGAAAAAAAAAAACGACGAAAAAAATGGAAGGGAGAAAATAAGAAATGAATAAAACATCATTAGAAAACAGATTGGGTCTTCTCTTCTTTTTGTTTTGTTTCATAGAAGAGAATAAATAAGTTTACAATTTACTGTGTTAATTATGAGAGAAGAGAATAAATAGTTTAAAATTATTTTTACCATTATATATATCTATCCCTATGTATAATATTGTAATCTAGGATAATATTTTAATTTAAGATTCAAATAATTATGCATGGTAGTAATTTAAAACTTCTTTAATAGTCTCACTTGTCTTCCCTCTAGGGATAGCAACGGGGTGATTTTGGGCGGGGGTACCCTTCCCCGCCCTTGCAACCATTTAAAAACTCCCACCCCGTCCCCACCCAAAACAGTTTAAACGGGCTCTTTCCACCCCATCCCCATCTCGTTTCTACTTTTTCACCCCTGCGGGCACTTGCCCGCACTCGTTTAGTTCCAGAATTTTTCCTCTTTTAATTTTTTTTTTTTTTTTTTTTTTTTTTTTTTTACCTCAAATACAATTATATAACTATTGAAAAAAATCATAAAAAATGGGTAATCAATAATTTTATATAAAATTCAAGAGTATGAACGTTCTTAGTTCATAGAGCTCTACCGTTCTCTAGAATAATTGAGAAAGTGAGTGAATGTAATATGGAGTTTCTATAACTAATTATATATACTAATAAAATAGGGATAATTTAGTAATTTATTAACCTAAATGGGGTTGGGTGACCCCCCGCCTCGAACCCATGCGGGCTATCCTTAATAAAATCATCCCCACTTAAATAAGCTAAACGGTTCCCCAAAACCGCTGTAAACAGGGCGGGGTGGGGCGGTAAATTGCCATCCCAATCCCTTACTCTCTTCCGCTCATATTTCTGGGATGAAAAATTATAAAGAAGGAAGATGACTCATCACTCCTTTTATTCTTTATTATCTCTTTGTTTCCTTTTTATCGAACAAAAGAAGTTTTGTTCATTTTTTCCTATCTTCCTTTCACACGTCTTCCTTTCTTCTTTGTAAAGAACAAAACAAAAGTGATTAGACATCTACACATTTTACACAATATGCTTGCACCTTTATGACATGGGCAAGGCGTTGCAAGTGTCAAGTATAAGGTATTGGGCCACTGGACGTTTACAGTTTTCCCGAGACGTATACCCCTCTTTAAGTTGGCAAGGAACTGCAAGTCAAAAACTCAAAGAATGCCAACAAGACGTCTAAATGTTCCTACTAGACTTTTACCCCTTCGAAAGTGCATAATTATCAATTCCTGAAGAGCTAGAGGTTTACATATGCTTATTCAGGTGGTTCGAAAGTGTAGAATTCTCAATTCCTTAAAGACTAGAGGCCATTCCACCACATGTAATGACCCGAAAATTAGGGGTATGACAAAACAAGGTTCGAAAACCGCCCTAATAAATTATCAAAAATTATCCGGTATAAAAACTCATAGTCCATTCATTGTCCCAAATATACTTAAATAACCTCAAACACACTTTCACTGTGCTACTCCGATAATTACCAACTTAAACACATCTCAATCATTTACAAAACAAAATCTAAATCGAAAAGGAGCAAACGAAAATGATTTGAAAAATGGACTCAAAGGGTAATGTGACACTGCAATTCCCAGAAACCTAAACTTTGCTAATAAAATAAGTTTTTGGAAGGTAATAGCAGTCAAATAATGAGCTGAAAATAAAGTTTTCCCAAACTTCATTCATTTGAAAAATATCCGGAGTTAAGAAAATTCTAATAAATTTGTTTTTAGAAATTAGAGTTAGTAAGGCATAAAAATGGAAAGTTTGATAATGATCCGGTGCAAAGAACTTGGTCAAATATATTATTGAAAAATCTGATTTCCAGCCGATGAAAAATCCGAAAAGTAGTTGCTGTCGAATTTTTAGAAAAATGCCTGTTGATCCAAAAATTCCGAAATTATTCTGGGAAGTTCTGGACATGTAGAAAAACATGTGATGAAAGTTTCGTAGCATTTGGAGCTCTACAGCTCCTTGGAGAAAATATTTATTTCAAGCAAAAAAAAAAAAAAAAAAAAAATTTCTTGCCCGAAACAGTCCCTTGTCCTTCCTAATCATCAAACGAACCAATCAAACTCACTGGGAACATTAACAACAAGTCTCTAAACTATCATAATCACGTGTTTACGTCATTTTATCAAATTACAGTTGAATCAAGTATTTTATCAAACACATTATCTACATGAACAAGATGGTAACCAATAAGTATTTTCAGCAACTCCATTTCCTCCAATTGATCATGGCACCTTCTGAAATGATGAAGATGATAAGAAGATGGTAAGCACGAAGATGATGGATTTCCAGCCTCGACTTTCTTCTCTAGATTTCCCTCGGCCGGACCACTTGCTCTCCTTTTCCCATCTTTCCTCTTGTTCTCTCTAACTCTATACTAACCTTTTCCTCTCTAACTCTAAACGCAAAAAAATTAGTGGAACTCAATGAGGGTGTGATGATCCCTAGCTGCTGCTCCTTCCTTCGGTCTCCCCTCTTCCTTATTTCTTCCTTCTCTTTTTCTTACTTCATTCTATATCTGTACCTTGGCAGGACCTTCCTCTCTTTACAACTCTAGAACATAACCAACTGTATATTTTAATTTAAACTAATTCTAGAGATAGCCATTAGCATTTAACTAAATTAATTAAAAGATAATTACTAAAACTATGATCCGTATCCATTAATTAATTCAAAGGCTCCAACTCTTCTACCTTTGCATGCAATTTTAGTCCACGTAGCCCCATTGCCCAGTTTACCTCAAGCCAACGGCCACGTCATTACCCAATTTAATTCAAGCCAATTGGCACGTCTTTGTCAAACATTTATCAAAATAAGTGTTAACACGTGCAAGTATTTCATCTTCACCTTGCTTGAAGAACCTGTTTGGAATTGCATCTCTAATGCTTAAAAACGCTTTTATTTTGAAAAATTACATTATATCTATAAAAGTTATTATTATTATTATTATTTTTATTATAATAACAACAAAGCTAGCTTGAATACTAGCTCGCCAAAGCATCGCGATCGATACACAATTCTTTTTTTAGGTAAGATACACAATTAGAATAGACTAATTTATACTAATTTTATCCTAGTATATTAAATTACGATTAATACTGCCAACCATACCGACAGAAGGAATAATTATAACATTTCTTATTACTATAGGAGTCTAGTTGCAGAAAGAACGACCCGCGCTGATTACAATTTTCTTTCATCCTGGACCATAGAAAAATTCACGTGAGACCCACATGTGCCTGCCGGAGCATCGCCCGAGTTGCCCACCGAGTCTCTCTCTTCAAACGATTCCCTGTTAGTATAATAACAACAACCGTTCAAGTTGAAAACTAGTACCAACTACGGAATATTTTGGACCAAATCTCTCACTCACACACTCTCTCTCTCTCTAAAGTTGCTTTCATCTCTCTCACTACATATATATAAATAGAGATTGCGTGTATAATCATCGCAACAGGTTGCCATTGAGTTCAGTTACTGCTGGACTGACTTGGGGTTTGGCCGGAAAAAATGGCGTCGGTAGTGGAGGGACCGTTGCCGTACAGAGTTTCGGGACGGGAGAGTTCATCTTCGAATCCAACGGACGCTGTGATCTTCTTCGGCATTAGTTTGGTATTGGGAATTGCGTGTAGGCATGTGCTAAGGGGCACTAGAGTTCCTTACACTGTTGCTCTGCTCATCCTCGGCATTGGCCTTGGATCATTAGGTTTGTGCCATCATTTCCCTCCTTTTCTTTGATTTCTTTATCAGTTCTATACCTATTCATTGTAATTTGGTCCTTTTTCTTGATTAAATTTATGCATCATTCATGGGTTTCAAATACTTCTCTATGGCTGGATTGTTTTGTTTTGAAAAGAAATTTGTGACAATGATACAGATTGTTGTGAACCTTGCTAATACACCAAAAGTCTAAAGAATTCATAAGACAGGTCAATTTGAATCCTTCTAGCTACTTGGGTTGGTTCATGGGTGACAAGTATTTGGCAAGATTGCAGGAAATAAAATCGATTGCCTCACTAAAGCTGATAGACCCAATGCGGTAACGGGTATAACCTACAAGGTTAAGTACCCAGAAGGAACTTGTGGGTTGAGATTGAATGTGTTATGGATTGGCTCATGACATGTCCTCAGTGCCACACTCCTGGTCGAGTTTAGAAGTTCATGCTGCATTTAATGAAGATTTTAAAGGCTTAAAAGTACCTGAATTGCGATATTCAGATTACAGATGAAAGTAATAACATCATCTAAGATTAATTTGATAGCTTAATTGGAATTTTTTTGTTGAATTGCAACATTAGAGTTTTCCAACATGTGATTTTCAGAAAGAGCAAGAAAAAGAAATTATTCATAAATTCATCCGATGATCTAAACTAAGCTTAAAAAGCACATTGGAACTTTTGCAATTTAAGGTTTATTTCAAGAATTTTTGCTGTCATTTGGCAACCTGTGTTTTGTTTCTAACTCTAAATTTTCTACTTCTAGAATCATACCTTTTTATTTATTTTTTTTATTATATGAACTAATTGGGATCCATGCCAAATCCTGCATCATTCGAAGTTGTATGTGTGAGTGAGTGTATATTTATTTTGATGGAAAGTAGAGACTTTGTACCACATAAAAAATGGGAGTAAGACAAACATCTGCCTTCTTCATATTTAAACATGAAATACTTATTCACTTACTTATTCACTTCAGGTGACAAGTTCAAGTAATGAGCATGATAACTTATGAGGAATCATGTATATAATTACATTGTCATGATTCATGAAATTTTCAAGTGGTTGAATATAATGCTTAGCTGCCATCAATTATATTATACTTGATTTGAAAATCTTAACGATGGATTAGCATGCAGAATATGGTACAAGTCATCGATTGGGAAAGATTGGGGACGGTATTCGTCTTTGTAAGTTCTATCAGCATTTTACTCGACATGAGCTTTTTGATTATTTATATAGACTTGTCAATTAAAATTCTTTGCTACTAATATAGCTTTCTTGAAAGAGAATTCTTATTGTTAAGTGTGAGCTATTCGAAGAAGTTTGATGTTGTTCATGCACAGGGGCAAATATTGATCCTAACCTTTTGTTGGCTGTATTTCTCCCTGCTCTTCTTTTTGAGAGTTCGTTTTCAATGGAAGTGCACCAAATAAAGGTTCATATTCTCTGCGTTGGTCTCAATTTATGCACTTGTGTTTGAGCTTTAGAGACTTGGGAAATTATTCTTCTCAATCTGTCTTACATTCCCCTTCTATTTGTACAGGTATTTTGTGTCTTTGTGAATTGGTTTTATCTTTCTTTGATGCTCTAGAAAAATCTTAATTTAATCTGAAATTTCAGTGAATCATCAGCATCCTATGGAGAACAGTGTAAAATTTTGTTGGGAGAGTTTTAATAATATAATTTGACTCAAGTGTTTGAACTCACTGTATCATGTTTGGATAGAATATATACTACTAATGTTACAATGTGCTGTTTATTTCCTTAATTTCTTCCTAGAAAAAGGTTATAGTTGTTACTTGTTAATTTTCTTTTTAATTACTTTAATTTTGGACAATAGGGTGCTAGCACTTATTTACTGTCTTTATTTTCTTTTGTAAACATGTATTATGTATTTTATTTATATTTAGAAGGTATCTTCGTCTTCTCTGGGCTTGGCCTGCATATGTGCTGCAACTTTTTTCCATTACTGTTCTGGTTCTTTTAGGTGCAGCCACCAATTGATACATGCGTCTTTTTACTCAGAGAACTTTTTTCTAATGTAAACTAGCTGAGTGAGACCATTAGGCTGATGAGGCTATTTTTGTAGTTACATGGCTGTTGACCGATGAGTCTACAATTGATATGCTCTGATTCCAATTGAGAAATCTAGGACCAGAACCCGAGACTCTGATACTAGAGTTAGAACACGGCCTAAAATAGATCTAGAGGGAGTGAATAGATCTTGTCCAATTTTAAGTAACAATAACTGATTTTTAGACTATTAATTATATTCATGAATCAGTTAAATATAGAGAGTATAAATAAAGAAACCATGCAACCACACAAGAACACACGGTTTTTATCTGAAAAACCCCAATGGGGAAAAACTACAAGACCTAGTCCAGGCAGACCAAATTCATTATGTGAAAGAGATATTACAGTTAGGCTACCAGTTTCTCAAACCCTAGAGAATCCAGAGACAGCCTGATCCATCAAACTCTCCACTCGAGTCTCCAGGCACACAGTATGCTCCGCCAATAGATTGCACTCCTCATTCATTCTGCTTTTTTACAAGCACTTTGATCTCCTCGGCTAGTCGTCCAAGTTGCATTTTCATTTTGTAGAGATACTTGGTGTTGAATTATTAGTGTAGCACAAGGATTATGATAACGCGTTGAATAATAACTCACCATGTAACGCAAGATGTAGATGATGAAAAATAAAATAGGCTCTCTAAAAATATATGATCTCTGTCTCTCTATGTGATCTCTGAACAAGGTGTGTAAAGATCTCTCTGTATATTTATGCCTATATATATATTATTGAAGATTTACTGGAGGAATCAGTGGAGAAAAATCTTTCCGTAATTAATGTTGCTTCCTATTGTTGAAGATTTACTGTTACTAAAGGAATCAGTGGAGAAAAATCTTCCTTGTTTCCAATTTTCTATCTCTTTCCATTCTCATCATTTCTTCCCCTATATAAAGGAGCTCCACCATTGTATTGTGTATGAGTTAAGAGAGTATTATAAAAGTGATGTAGCTCTTTGGGCTTTGTGTGTTGAACCACGTAATATCTATGTGTTCTACTGGTTTCATTTCTCTTTTTACTTATGTTTTATTATTTACAACATGTTATCATACCCTACTTTATACTTTGAGATTGAGTGATTTATATGATTGATTTTATGAATCCTCCATCAATGTATTTTCCATATTTATCACTTGTATTCTTTTACCTATAAATAGAGGTACTCATTGTAAACACTAATAAGATAGAATATAATAAGAGTGATGTAGCTCTTTGGGCTTTGTGTGCTGTGGATGGAGGCCGTAGTCTCCGAACCACGTTATTTCCTTTTGTTCTTCATGTTTAATTTCTTTCTTCATTATAGCAGGTTTATCATACCCTACTTTATACTATATTCGTTTCCAATCTTCGGATCAACTTGTCTCAGATCTTCTGATCAACTCGTCTTGGATCTACTCATCTCAGACTCTCGACAATTCAGTATTCAGTTTCAAGTTGGACACATGAGTTAAAATCTCCGTGTACCAACTTGGGGGGGGGGGGGGTGTTGGAGAATATTATTTTGGGTTATTCTATTAGCATCTAAAATGTTGCTAAGGGTTTTTCGGTGTTATTTGTGACTTGTTTGGGCTGCTAGTGTGTTCGGTAGCATTGTCTTCTTTTTTGCTATGTCTCGGGCAATTTTTATTGACTTGTTTGGGCTGCTGGTGTGTTTGGTAGCATTGTCTTCGCCTTTGCCGTGTCTTCTACTGTTTTTTGCTGACTTGTTTGGGCTGCCGGTATGTTTGGTAGCATTATTCTTCACCTTTTTTCTTCTTTCTTCATCATTCACACTTGTTGCTACTCGCCATCTCAATGGCAAGTTGGACATTCATGCTCCAACTTGAGGGGGGAGTATTGAAGATTTAAAGGAGGAATTAGTGGAGGAAAATCTTTTGGTAATTGATGTTGTTTCCTATTATTGAAGATTTACTGTTACTAGAGGAATCAGTGGAGAAAAATCCTCCTTGTTTCATATTTTCTATCTCTTTCTATTTTCATTATTTTTTTCTCCTATATAAAGGAGCCTCCACTATTGTATTGTGTATGAGTTGAGAGAGTATTATAAAAGTGATGTACCCCTATTGGCTTTGTGTGCTGAACCATGTAATGTCTGTATTCTACTTTCATTTCTCTTTTCACTTATATTTTATTATTTACAACATCTATGTCTACTTTTTATGAGAGCTTAGAAGTGTTTATATAGAGTTTTGAGTCCTAAAGGAATTTTGGTTTCGTAGTTGTCAACGGAAAAGGAACCTAAACCATCTAGGATTCTAATTTAGAGAAGTTTCCAAAAACTGTTCTCTCACAGCTTGATCGATTGAGCTATCAATAGACAACTACTGTACAGGGTTCAATCGAGCATTTGATTGAGCCATTGAAGGCTTCAATATAATTTTTCTGGAAAACTTTCAATTGAGCAACACATTGATCGAGCCATTCTGTTTTTGTGAAAAGTTCTTATTTAAATATATGTATTCCAAAAAAACTTCACGCATTCAAAACATCTTTTTCATGAATCAAACCGTGCATGCATTGTGCCCTAAAATGAGAATGCATGATAATGAACCCTAATTGGTGAGTTAGTTATCCAAGAGGTAATTTTAACTTTTAGTCCTTTGAAGTATCTTCAAATTCTTATTCTGTCCTTGGACATAGGTACCATCTCTAACTAACTAACTAAACTTACTTTTGAAAAACTAATCAAAAATTAAACATAAAAATTCCGGCTATTGTTACAAAATTTGCCAACTCTAAGTTTTAGTCCTAACAATGGCTTATATGTAAAGCTAATAGAGAGAAACAAACACCCCGACTATTTCTCCATATTTTTCCTTTGTGATCCAAAGCACAAACAACTTATAGAGCAAATAAGACTGGGATATCTCAGCCGAATGGGCATAGACAGCCCACATATGTTGTTCGTGTCAGCATTGCACGTACACTGATGTTTGCGTTATAAAGCCTCATTTCTATGGACAGTGATGTTACCATTGTAAAGGGACACTTCTGACCTCATAATCAAATCCATCCCATCTTTTTTTTATCAGTCTGCGAAGTTTTGCTCTGAGCCACTTTCTTTGTTTGGAAAGCTAATTTTGCAAGCTTCTGCAAGAATGACACTTTTCTGATTAACCAGTGTACTTTGATCATTTGGAGGAGTTTTTGGTCATGGCATTTGGCACTACTATGGTTGTTTCTTGGTAGCTCATCTTTTTATCATACTGCATGTTCGAATTGGAGCACTGTTTGAGATTTTTAGTTCCTTTTATTTACCCTTTTAGCTGCTACAGTTCAGGCTTTGCTGCTGCTCAGGGTTTATTTTGGTAAAATTTAGATATTATTTTGTTATGTTGTCAACCTTTGGTTCAGGGCCCTTTGGTTTTGGGCCAATATGCATTTGTTTCCATAATAAGAAGCTTTGTTGCTAAAATACATTAAGTATGTCAGGGCTTGAAATCCAGTTTTGAATCCAATTGTAGAGGAGGAATGGGTCAAATTAGTGTCCATAGTGGTTGCCAAATTAGGCCATTGCCCAATGCCGTCCTGTTGGAGATAGATGTAACCTTTTAGATTATTGCATGAAGTGGCTGCTCACTTACTTGAACCTAGCTTCTCATGCTTGTCAGTACCAATCAATAGCTCCACCTAATCACATCAAGTTAAATGGAACTCATTATCTGTGCTGGTTTCGCATGACATTCTTATTCATTAAAATTGAAGGGAAGACTGGTACAATGAACGGAAAAAATAAAAGAAGCTGGTGTTTGGAATCTATCCCATGATAAGTGGAATGCTGTGGGAGAAGTGTTGTGCTTCATCGTGTCTCTCAAGGGCAGTCAGCTTTACCTTCACATTCTAGAGACAGTGATGAAAGAGTAATGGTCAGGAGAGAGAATGACCCTAGGATGCAGTGACTCTCGAGGGAGCTAGGGATGGGGGATTTAGGGCTAACAAGGAGCTATCCATTGCCTTTCAAACTGCACATTTAAGCCTTAGGTCATTGTGCATCCTGTGCTCTTTTGGCCCCCTTATGGATAATTGATTAGAAGCCTCAGATCATGTGTTAATTATGTCAGATTTATTTACTTTTCGTAGCTCTTGCTCTGGCGGGGAAAAAAGTAGAACCGCTGAGAATTCGTGATATCTTCTGTCCAGCAAATGTTCCATTCCCTTTCTTCCTCTACGTCTCCTTCATGTTCTATGCTCTAATTTTCTCAGCAGATTTAGAATTATATAGAAAAGATAAGACTTGCAAATATAAAAATAGATATGATAAAAAAGCACATATAATGGAGTTGTCTGTTATTACAGTATAGGTGAAAAAGAAGTGTTTCAATCACTGTAGGCTTGGTATTTTTGTCTTATTTATGGATGAAC